CGCGGAGCCCCCGCAGGTAGGAGCGCAGCTCCGCGCCACCTGCCCGCCGGGGCGGCCGCGCAGCGCGGTGGCCGCGGGCAGGTGTCCCTCGCTCACCGCCTCTCTCCGTGTCTGTCCCGCAGCAGCGCCCGGCGCCGCCGAGCCCCGCGCGCGCGCGGAGCCGCCGGGCAGTGCGGCGCGCGGCCACGCGCCCATGTGAGCGCCCGGCGGCGCGGACGGCTGCGCACCCTCGGCGGCCCGAGGAGGAGGAGGAGGAGGAGCAGGCGGCCGCGGGGCAGCGCTGGAGTGAGCGGGGGCGTCATGGTGTCCCCGCGGTGGCCGCGTCCCGGCCTGGCGCGGCTCTGGGGCTTGTGCTGCGCGCTGCTGGGCTGCTGGCGCGGCGCGCCCGCCTGCCCCGCGTCCTGCCGCTGCAGCCCGGGGCGCGTCTGGTGCGCGGAGCCGGCGCCGGGCATCGCCTCCTTCCCCGTGCCGCAGCGCAGCGCCGAGGGACACAATGTCACCGAGATGTGAGTACGGAGCGCGCGCTGCCGGCGCGGCCAGGCCGGCGGGGACGCGGCGGGCGGAGAAGTCGCCCGCGCCGCGGGGCGCTGCTCCGCGCAGAGAGCCCCGCGGGTCTCGGTCCGCAGCCGGCGCCCCAGCCCTGCGCTGCCGAGGGCGCCTGGGTGGTACACGGCGGCTGCATTAGCCGCAGGTGCCCGCGGTGCGGGCGCCGGGCGCACCGGGCTGCGGCGGCGCGGAGCGGGCGCGCAGGGCAGCGGGCGCCGCGCGGGAACGGCCGCGCACGGAGCGCGCCGCTCCGCCGGGGACGTGCGCGCCGCCGAGCCGCAGCCCTGCCGCGGCTGCACCCCCCAAGGGCGATAAATTTAAATTTATTTATTTTTTTTTTATTTTTATTTAAATTTTTCCCTTCCCGCTTGCTCACCCTTATTCCCGCAAGCAGAGGGCTTTGGTAGGGAGCCTTTCTCCCCATCCTCTCATCTTTCTTTCCAAAGACAGAAAAAAGAAAGGGATGCCGTACATCCCAGGGGAATGGAGAGCAGAGCAGCTCCCCTACCCTGTCCGTCAGCCTGCATGCTGGCTCTGCTCTCCTGTAAGGTGGCTGGAAGGGGCAAATACGGAGCCTGCACGGGGACTAGCACAGTGCTGTGTCTCAGTGAGCACTGGCAGCAGGGATCCCTCATTAGCTGTGAGGAAGGTGCAAGAAGTTGTATTTCTTCTTTCTCTTACCCGTGTGTCATCCTTGCAGGCATCCTTGTTTGCCTGCAGCCGATTTTGGCGACGGAGTTCTCTAGCTTTTCTCATTCCAACTCACATCCTCTAACAGCTCTCTGTACTCTGTGGTAGAGATACATTTTTGTCTGAAAGGAACCGCAAAGACTCTTGTTGAGGAAAATTTTGGATACTGGATTTGTAGATGACAGATATAAGAAAAAAGCCTTCTGAAGCTGTTGTGTCCATCTCCATCTTCTCCAGTCACTGCTATCTCTGGATTTTTTTCTCATGGCATTTTTAATGTAAAAGATACCAGATTATTTCCCCTCAAGTGTCTACAGATTTCTGAGTGTTCCTTCTCTTTCTTCCTCCTCTTCTTCAGTTTCCTTTTGGAACATGTAAATATGCCATGAAATTTAGTGTGACTTTAGATTAATTCTACCCTTTGGGCTACCTCTCTGCAGTTTGTTGTAGTCACTTTGCTGCATTTCCCTGTGGATGTGTAATATGTAGGAAGAAGCTGGAGACGTTCATTTCTACAAGTCGTATATAGCCTCTGTTCGTTAGATTTTTAGGACCTAAGAGAATGAACCAATCTTTCTAAGTTGTTATAGCAGTTATCATTTCAGCTGTTTGTTTAATATTCTGTGGATAGCTTCATTAAAAAAAAATTGCTTCAAGCCATGCATCACTGCTCATTTTTATAGGCTTTTTCTAGCCTTATTATCCAGTACTTTCAATTTGGAGGTAACTCAGCAATTTCCCCTTAGAATTTAAACTCTGTCTAAAAGGCCAGAGAAAAAATGTGTGCATAAATATGTATGCCAGCAATAATCAGCTTAAAACATGTCTAGCCATTTTGCCTTGATGCCCYTGATTTTTATTTTCTTGCATTTTTTTTTTCAGCATCACTGTCTATGGTTTTTACTGTGTCACTGCATGTTGTTGTGTCTGGTAGTCTAAAAATAATTTTGAGTCATGGATTTCTCAGGAGATGCTATTGCACATACTTAAGATGGTCTTTTTAAACATAGTTCAGCATGAAAAAYGGGCAGCCCTTTAATTAGTTTGTAGGCATAAATTAAAAATTGTAGTTGTTGTGTTATTTCATTATGGGAAGTCGGTAAAAAAGTATGTTCTGGAAACTGTTTTAATAGCGTAGATACAGAACGTGAAAGTGCATTTTTTACAACACCGCACATCTTTCTCTTAGGTAATAAACCAGTTTGAGAGGCTGTAGCACTGCGTTTGGTTAGGAAGCTCCAGGCCTGATTTTTCTTCTCTGTGCTCCGTAGTTCGGAGTGCAATTCCATTGCTCTCTCATGTAATTACTCTGGGTACAAACGAGWAGGAGAAGAGCATAAGTCACTTAATTTCTAATAATACCTATTTCTGCATATTTCCTAAATAGCTTTTGAGACTGGCGTTTCAATTTGTTATTTCTGTTATTGCTCTGTTCTCGACTGGGGATACTTCTTCCTATGACTCCCTGGGAATGCGGCCAAGCGTTTCACCGGGCAAGACGGCCGTGCGCGCTCCAGGCGTTTTCCAGTGGTTTGCCAGCACGATCCTTGGAGGCTGGTGGGAGCTGTGGTGGCGGCAGGGCTGGTGGTGGGCCTGGTRGGTGGCGCTGGGCAGGCCGGGTGTGAGGGCCACGGCGGGACGCGAGGGTTTCCTCCGGTGCTGGAGTGCTGGAAGGGCACCTGGGTGCTGGAGTAACGGTGCTGCTCTCCCTCGCGCCAKACCCTCTCAACCACTTGGTATCCAGGATCTTTGGCTCTTTTCACACCCGTAGGCAGTTTTGAGCTTAACCGCAGTCTTCCTACATGGCCCTGCTGTTCTTTATTCCTGGTTGGGTTCCCGTGCCCATGGGCTGAAATCAGMAGAAATCCCTCCGGGGCGCTTTGCATTGGGCCAGCGAGGCCCAGCTGCTGCATCTCGGTGTGGGAGGGCACAGGAGTATTTGTGCCTGGTGCTTTTCTTACTCATCCTCTGCGCTCTTTGCTTTCCTTTTGTTGCACATTTTTGTATTCCGAYGGATAAACGGCATGTTTTGGAAGTCCCTGGCCTCCAAAATAGGGTTTTGGTCCCCTTGTTGAGGGCACTGACACGGGTTGCACTTGTTCAGGAAAGCGTGTTGCTGTGCTAAGATTGCTTACCACAACAAGAGTTAAATCACAATAACTCATTTGTAGGACTGAGACTGTTAGAGAGAAGCCAAACTCCAAAGTGAGGCCTTGAATTAAAATGATGAAATCAGCCACTGGAGAGCTGAAGCTCACACTAAGCGCAAGACTGGTGAAAACGAAACGAATGTATAGATATTGTTAAATCCATACCCTCAAGGCACAATGATGCATAAGCATTACATAGCAAGATCACTTGAACAAAATTTTAATAGGGTAGTAATCAAGCCACTTTTTATTTTGGGGGAGATTTTTTTCTAAAAGGACTCATCTAACAGTTTTCTTGTAAATAAAACGTCCTGCTAGTATCTCTCATTGTATGTAGCTGTTCATAGTCTTTGTTGTTGAACTATTTGCTTGCCTATTTGAACTATTTTTCAACTGTGTTGGTGGCCTAGATTAGCTGCTCTAATATCAAGTCATTAATATGTTGACTTTTGATTATTCAGGTGAATGAGATTTGAAATTAATTGCTGTGCATCAGGAAGACCTGCTTGCCAGCAAAATAGTAGGTGACTGTTTAGCTCTTCGCTTGTAAAGGAAAGAGGTGATTGTGTATTGCGTACGTTTCAAAACCACAAAGTAAATTTCTAATGCAGTTATATAAAGCACTCTGGAATTGTTAATAAATAAGACAGGATAAGTAATTTATAGAGTAAATTATTTAACAAGTCATGTGAGCTTGTGCTAAAGAAAAACCACGCGTAAAATTATAAAAGGCTCAGTGGTGTTCGTACTTCGGGTCTCTTTCATTTTAGATTTCTAGACTCCATTGTAGATGAAATATATAATAAAATTGTCTACTGGAGTTCTCAAATGCAATCCCCTTCCTTCTGAAAACTGCTCTTGGCAGTGCAGGATAGCACGGCTTGGCTGGATTTAAAGTTTATTTCTAGTGATCTGGAATGGTATAATAAAGATAGGAGGCATCAGGCTGCAAATTATTTAGAGGAATTTGGACAGCTGTGATACAATAATACCTTTCTTGGCAGCCTATCCTTTTTTTTTTTTTTTTTTTTTTTTGAAAAAAAAAAATACTTTCTTTAAAGCTCCTGATAGTTCACTAAGGTGTGCTGAAAGTAAGCGTTATGAAAATCAGTGTTGTAATTTCCAGGCGCTGCAGAAACCTCAAATGTCATTTGACACAGGATGGTTTCTTCTGGCTCCCAGGTAAGCTTGGTCTAGACCATGTCCTTGCAGTGAGTGAGGACTGATGGGTTCCCTGGGGAATCCAGAGGTGCTGGGTGAGCACAGCATCCTTCAGGAGTCACTCAGCTGGATTGGGCGTGTAGAACACCCCACTGATTTTCTGTTTTTACTGACCTAATAATTTTAAGAGAAATTCTGGGTTTATGTATGAAATTAAAGCCCATTTGTATGGATCTGAGGTTTTGGTCTTGACTATGTTATTTTTAAGAAACTTCCACTTCCTTCCATACTAATGAGAAAACAGAGGGCCCAAAGTCTAGCCTCTGATGACTACTGTAGGATGGCATTTTTCAAATTTTTCATGTTCTGTTTTTTTTATTATTTTCATGCTGAAAGGGTAAGGGAGGAAACAGCTTAACAAGATTCTAGATTTCAAACTGCTTTGTAACAAAAACTTGAAAAAAGTAATTGCTTTATTTCTAAATGGTCTGTTTTAAGGTGTGTGTGGGGGAGGTAACATGTTCCTTTTTACTACAGTTCTCCCCATTGCTCATCATCTTTCAGTGCAGCAATATCTAACAATGTGCCAACAAAAGTATCTAGCAGAGTTTCTTTGAACAAGCTGCACGAGCATAAGGAAGCAAAAGAAATGATGAAATGATAGATGTATATTTAGCTTGTTATGTTTGCAAAAACCTCTTTTGGAAAACTGTTCTTTAATGAAGCACTGATTGTATTAATTTATCATTTAAGTGCATTTGAAATGGAAAAAGAAATTGAAAGTGGCTTGAAAGCAATATGCCTATACTGCCTGGGATATGAGTACTGTTATTGAATGCTGTATAAGTAGATCTTAGTACAAATGCATAAGGGCACATAGTTCCTATTGAAATCAAATATATTGGAATGTACCTTTTTGATTACAAGCCTAGGTTTTCAGAAATTGCATAAAGCAAGCC